GAAAATGCTTTTCTGTCTCTAGTAATCTTACCCGCCATCAAAAGACTCACACAGGGGAGAAGCCTTATAAATGCATTGAATGTGGAAAATGTTTTTCTAGGAATAGTTATCTTAACACCCATAAAAGGATCCACACAGGGGAGAAGCCGTATAAATGTATGGTGTGTGGAAAAGGTTTTATTACGAATAGTTATCTTAATCTTCATAAAAGGACCACACAGTGTAAAAGCCCTATAAATCTGTGAAATATGGAAACATCTTCAAGAGGACCAATGGGCGAATGTTCCATATACAGATACATTTGGGTGATAATCTGTTTAACTGTTAGGTTTAGTTGTTGAAATATATGCATTTCCTAATTACATCTACTGAATTTTTTGACTAGGTTTAGTTGTTGAAATATATGCATTTCCTAATTACATCTACTGCATTTTTTGACTCTGACCTTCACAATTGGAAGCCCCAGAGTGATGAATTTACTAATGGAAACGCTACGCATGTGGTGTTTTAATTATGAACAGTGGATTTTTGTAGCTACTGTCATTTGAAGACCACCAATGACGTTTCACATAAATAAGAGAACATCTTTTTTTTTCATGTTTATCCCATTTCCAATTGGATCGTAATAAAGAAAGCCCAAATCCACAATGAAACTTTATAAAAGTTTAATTTTTGAGAGCAAGCATCGGGCTGAGCTAGCAAAATGTCATTCCAGGCATACTATGGGAAAGGCATTAATCAGGAATGATGTCAGATGCCTATCTTTGCTTTCTTTGAAGCTCGCTAGCAACTGCCATAACTAGGGGGAAGGGGACATTTGGTAGAGGAAGATCACTGGAGATGTTAAAGAATTGTGTGGGAATTTGGGGAGTATGGGCATTAACAGGAACTAAAGGTACCAAACTGAGCCATCTGCCTGCCCTCAAGGACACCAGCCCTGGGAAAGGAATTTATAGCCACTCCTTAGACACCAGGTTGCTAAAACATTGGACCAGGATTGGATTGGACTGATCTAGCCAGGGGAAGTGCTTTGGACATTGGAGATTGTTTTCAATATGTGTTTTTTGCGCAGTTTTCTTCAGAGCTTGCCTTGCTTATGCTGCACTCGGTATCTCTAGTAAAAGTACCTTTTCTCTAACATCCATGGAATCAAGGATCATTCTGCCTAGGGAGTAAACTGTGGCCAGTCTGACAAAAGAGTTGCAGAAATAATCACTAAATATGAATTATCAAAATAAGTGTGATGCTAAAGAAGATACCTTATGAATAGAATAGTTTAAGTAGCCATTGTTTTACAGTTAAGCTTTTTTAAGCTGTCGGCTGTTGTTGTTAGTTGCGAAGTTGTGTGCTACCCATCGCGACCCCATGGACAATGGTCCTCCAGGCCTTCCTGTCCTTTACCATCTTCTGGAGTCCATTTAAGCTCACGCCTATTGCTTCAGTGACTCCAAGAAGTATCTTCTGAAGAAGCATCTTTAGAAATGAAAATGTTCCTTGGATATGAAGTGAAACCTTAAAGAAAATAAAAAGTCAAGTTGCCTTTTGAAAAATTCCTTTGGGATCCCTTGAGAAATCTACAATGGAGCAAAAAGGTTTTCATATATACAGTAAACATAGAGAAGATAGAGATAAAAATAGATTCTGTGTTTCCCGAAAAATAAGACCAGGTCTTATAATTTTTGGGGGGAACTAAAAGATCCATTAGGTCTTATTTTGGGGAAATTTGTTACGTATAGCAGGTGTGCGTGCATAAGCGGGATGATGTTCGGTATAAGCAGTGGGGCGTTGCCTGCGCATGGGGTGGAGATGCAGAGCTTCAATGTGCGGCGGCAATTGATCCAATCTCGGAGCGTGGGGGCAGACCATCTACTCACTATACCTGTGCATTTGGTTTTTCTTGCCTAAATGTAGAACCTTACTTTTTTCACCATTGAATTTCATTTTGTTAGATAGCGCCCAGTGTTCAAGTCTGTCCAGGTCCTCCTGTATCCTAAGCCTGTCTTCTGGAGTGTTGGCTATTCCTGCCAGCTTGGTGTCATCTGCAAATTTGATGAGTTTCTCATCTATCCCCTCGTCCAGATCGTTGATGAAGATGTTGAAGAGCACTGGGCCCAGAACAGAGCCCTGGGGCACCCCACTACAAACTTCCCTCCATGTAGATGCGGTTCCATTGAGGACCACACGCTGAGTATGGCCGGTCAGCCAGCTACGAATCCATCTGGTGGTGATGCTGTCTAACCCATATTTTTCT